TAAAAAATAAACAGGCCACCTTAATGTCCCTCTGAACATAATCCAGCCCAACATAATTGGGAAAATAATTTAGTAGGATAGGAATTTTTAGGAAACATGGATTTTCAACTAAGGGTGCGTTCACACCTAACGACTGAATCAGTTCAAGCAAACTTATCTTGTTTAGCCGCTTCAGTTCTCAGTCAAAGGCAAGGCAGACCAACCACAAACTTTTATAAAGCCTATTTCCACACAGAGTTCCCAGTAAATAATTTGGAGGACCCTTCAAGCATCACTAGTCATTTTCACCATCCACACATGGACATTCAGAAACAGTTTCCGCCTTTTAATACATGCCATGGCACTGCTGGAATAAATGGCACAAGGGACAGTCCAGCACATGGCGACACTGCAGCACTATGTATGCCAACCATCATAAAAATATACAGAAGAAGATGCCTCTTTTAATAGCCTTGGGCAAGGCTTGATGTGCGTGTATGCAGCAGAAGACGGTCCTTATTTTTGGGAATATGGCAGGTGAGGAGCTGTTTCTGGAGCTTGTTTGCAACCAAAAGAACTTGTATTGCTTGTTGTTAGGTATCAAAATCATCCACAAAAGCACTGGTGTAAATACAAAACCATAAACAAGTGCCGGATTCAAATATGCTATCAGGTGAGTCTTGTGATCTGCCTGCTCCGTGTATCTGCAATGTTACTGCTTTCATTCACACCACAGCCATACCAGCATTTTCCCTGAAATGTTACTATGTCAGGAGTCGGCAACCTGCAGCTCCAGAGCCACACGTGGGTCTTTGGCCCCTCTGCACTAGCTATGTGACTTCAAAACAAGTATATTTAAATGAACAGTGTTATTTTTTTAAGATTTTGATTTTCATTAATCACAGTTATAGGCTGAAAATGATTCCTAAATTCTCCAATTATAAAGTGTGTAGCCTATACACTGAATAAAAAAATGTTTTAACATTTCATCAACTGTAAAAAGTGCTTCGTCAGTCGACTGCCTGGTGCCTTTTCCTCTAAATTTTGCAAAAGTTCAACAGCAATGGCTCATCTTAAGTCCCCCTAGTTAAGCTGGCTATGAATTCTAAATCCAAAAAAGGAAGAATTTAATAACGTGTGGACAGGTTCATTTGTTTTCACCACCAAAACTGCAAAGTTAAAGAACCAAATAATCATAAAAAGCCCACTCACAACTATTGGCTAATTTAGACTTAATAGGCTGTGTTATCGTCATTATAAAGCTCAAAAATGGGGATTTTATTTTTCTTTTGGTTTAGGCCAAAAATATCTCTTTTGATAGCAAAGGTTGCAGGAAATGTTCCTGAACATTTCAGGGATAGATTCAAGTCTAAAAAGGGCTTAATGATAGACATATGATTTGAGCTTGTATTCAACGGCTTAACTACTATTAAATCCATCTGCTTATCATCAGCTGGGAAGAGAGTGATCTTTTAAGTGGCCTTTATATTTCATCTGGCAGCCCATACTGTGGAGATTTTACTTGATCAATCAGAAGTTAAAACAGCTGCATTTGGGAGTTTCTCATTTAAAAAAAACAGTGAAACCTCACCATCCCCATAATATTACACTTCATAACACATCTTTTCCAGCCTGTTTCTACCCGTCCATCATTAAAAGGCTAAAATGTGTCCTTTTTGTCTTGATCCAGATCAAATAAACCAAACTGCAGGTGTGAAAACACCTAAAAGCAGAACCCCTCCCACCCTCTGATCTGTTCAGTCCCATCAAAGCACCAAAGTAAATTAAATTACATGAACCTGGATGGTTTCTGATAGCAAAGGATTTAATCTTCAGCTTGGAATGAGTGACTACTTCTTAAATATGAGGTGTGTTTATATTCACAAATCATTTCCGCACCATCAGCCTTTGAACGTCCAGTTCTCCCATTAAGTCTCAACGGAGCATCTCCCTTCATCTACAACATGGGTGGAGCATTGTTTCCCCTCTTTCTGATCTACAAACAATTGGCCCTGAGTGGTTCAGATGGACAGCCCATAATGTTGAAGGAGCAGCAGCAACAGGAGAGACAGTGGTGTTAATGCTAAAGACATACCAACTGCAGAAGTATAAGCAGTGTCTTCAAACAGCTCCAGAGGAAGAGGCTTTCATTCTATATGAATTATTAAAATGAATGATATTTCAATTTCAGCATCCTATTCCTTGTGTGTGAGTGCTGTTGTGATGTTTACATTGACTGTGACTGGGTATAAACAGTCACCGTGGACGCTCTCCTTCCACCATGACGTCTTCTTCTGTCACATGTTTAAAAACTAAGCATTTCAAAGCCGCCCCGCTTCGCTCACGAGTGCCTTTGCCGGGCAGCTGGAGCTGTCAAAGCAATGTTTTCAGTCCCGCTCTCGAGGGCTTTGCCACTTACGTAATAACCTGAATGAAATGTTAATGTCAGCAAAGTTGACATCGCAATAAGGGAATTCTCCTCCTGACTGAACTGGCAGCTCTGGTGGGAGTCAGACGAGTCGACTGCACATCACCTGCAGGAGGTGAGAAGCACTGGTCTGTCCTGGCGTTTCAAAAATAATGCACCTGTAATGACTTCATCAGCTTCCCTGTGGCCATTCATGAACATCGCCACAGGCTGTCAGAGACTCAGCACATGCAGTCACGGCTCCTCGGAGCTGTTGCTCAACACCGGCACTTCTGAGCCGGAGCAGGAGCAGGAGGAGGAGGAGGAGGAGGAGGAGGAAGAGGGTGGGTCACCTCTTAAAACTTTTGGGCTTGAGGACAGAGACCTCGGGGGCACTGCTGGTCTGGTCTGATCTGGTCTGGCTGAAGCAGACAGGCCTGTTTTAACATGTCAACTGACCAAAGGCAACCTAATTTCAGCTCCAACTGAAGCCTGGGTAACAAACCCTACTAGGTCTCTCAACTCCTCATCAGCTCTGAGTGATGGAGTCAAATTTATATAAAAGAATACCAAATAGGTAAATCCACTGAAACTGCTCATTCTGTGCCTTTAACCAGGCCACTATTTCCTCTGTCTGTACGGGGCTACTTCACCACATTCAGCATATTAAAAGGTCCAGTGTGTAGCATATAGGTAGCCAGTCCTCTTCTACAGAAATCACCATGTTGCACCACCATGTTTCTACAGTAGCCCATATACATTTTTGCATCTGCCCCTCTGCAACAAGCTGCCTTAGAAAAACACTGATGTATGAAGTGAAACTGCTTTATTCCTGAAGGTCCGAATCCTAAGTTATCAGTGAAGAAAGGTGAGCACATTAGTAGGTACTTGTCTACCTGCCCAACCTGCCCCAGAGAAACACTGATTTGTAGCACGAAACTGCTTTACTCAGTGTTTGTACCGGTTTAAATCCCAGAGTATGTTTGTTTTGCAGAGAAGGAGACCTCTGTGGATAATGTGGTTGCAATCTGCAGTCCTCACGGCTAGATGCCACCAAACTCCCCTAAATCTAACACGCTGCTTCTTTAAAACACTTCATTTTGTCAAGCAATTTGGAACGACATGTTTTTCACTCACCCACCTCTTCATTTGCAGACAGCTAGTGGATCTAAATCTTGACAAGAGCTGCAGCTACCAGCTACTGTCACTGCCAGTTTATCTGTCGATTATCTTCCAGAATAACCAATTCATTGTTTGGTCAATTACCGGCCATCAAACAGTAGAAAAACCCAAGCTGACATCCTCCAATTGCTTGTTTTGTCCAACCAACAGTCCAAAAATCTAAATTTATTAAGTTAAATATCACATTAGGCTTGGCAAACCAGCAAATGGAATCTTCTGTTGCACCCACTGGCTCTTCTCGGCCGTTTCAAAGCACTGTTGCAGGATTGTTGTACACAATCATCTATATGCCAATGTCAAAGTGTGTCATAGCTGGTCCTTGTAATCATAAGTAGCTGCCTTTTTTGCATTTTTATGGTTCATATCAAGTATAAATTAACATACTTTTGAGCTTCTTGTTGTAGTAATCTAAAGGACAATTTTAAATATTAGATTTTTAATCTCAAGAGGTAAATAAAGGATAAATAAATTACTAAAATAATCAATTCAGCTCTAACCTTGAGGATGTACAGCTCCACGTTTCAGTTATAGGACAACAGGGTGGATTAGTTTGTGTTTGTTGCGATCAACAGGAGATCACACAGCAGCGTTTACACCCAAACACACAAAACAACATTCACCTCCATCCATAGCAACACAGTGTTTAACTAGAGGTGCACAGCAGCTGAACATCCTGGTGTCCAGCTGTAAAAATCCTCAGCCATGCCCCATCAGGCAGCAGCAGCAGCGGTGATGTGATGTAAGCACCCTGAACGCCTCACACATGACGAAAAATGTCACAACCGTCCGTCACAGCTCTCAACACCGTGTGTAGTAATATGACACACACCAACAGCTCTGCAGCCTTCACAACCGTCCTCTGCGACAATGAAGCCAACAAGCAGCAGCAGCAGTACCGCTCCTGCTCCTCAGGATGGATCCAGCTCTATAGTATCATCATCCATTTAGTGCGTCACGTTCAATGCTGCTGCTGCTGCATCGTGTCAGCCTCCACACACACACACACACACACTGCAGCCCAGATGTGGCGTCCAGCACACACAAGGCAACATCTGTAACTGCACATTTACGCATTATGTAAAAAAAACAGCGTGACATTTATCCGAGGCGGCGGCAGCAGCAGCAGCGGTGGCGATGGAGGGGTGAGGTGAGGAGGGAGGGAAGGAGGGAGGAGTGGGGCTGGGGAGCCTGGAGCCCTGGGTGCGTACATTGGCTGCTGCTGCTGCTGGAGGGTGCTTAGACCATGTCGATCCAGTTCTTTCACAATCATACATGCTACGTGGTGTGGTGTCGCATTTGAATGAGGAGCAGGAGGCTGCAGCTGATGTTAGATTGACAGACAGCGAGGTTTGACATTCCGCACTCCCCGAGCCCTGCTGACAGCTAAATGTAAATACCATGAGCACTTAAAGGGGGTTCAAAATGAGCTTACCTCCTCCTCTGTGCCTTCAGTCCGCTGCTCCGTAAACCTCCCCGCTATAAACCCTCTGTTTGTGACGAGGAAGAGCAGGCAAGCCGTCCGTGCGCGTCCTGTCCAAAAAAGTCCTGCTGATTTTACCGCAGGGAAACGCTGTCGTGCGTAACAGTCCGCACCACGTCTCCCGCTGCACGAATCTCCAAATGTGCCTCAGATATGATCCAGTTTCTCCTCTGTGTGTGTGTGTGTGTGTGTCGTAGTCCTGAGAGCTCCTGGTCACAGTCCTCCCGTCACGTCGTCCTCCTCCTTCAGCTCCACTCTCTGCTCTCTCCTTTTTCTTCTCGGCTACAATCACTCGCCTGTCGTACCGCGCGTGCACTCGCGCTGCGCGTCCACGTCAAGGGCCGTAGGGTGGGAGCTATATCACAGTGTTATGGGTGGGTGGGTGGTATTTGGGAGGACCCTCCTGTGTGAAATAACAGTAATTGTTTAGAAGTGAATTGGCAGTTTAATTAGGATTTTATTTTTATTCAGGATTTTTTTTTTTTAACACAGGGATCAGACAGGGTTTTAATAACAGGCAGTGTCACTCAACACATGACTGACATGAGTGTGGGGTGTGGCCAAAACTGAGGACACCCCCCTCCCCAACACACACACACACACACACACACACACACACACACGAAGATGCATGGATTAACCAGAACATAGAATCACTTCATATTCCTCTTATTTTGAATTATTTAAAGTGTGTCTTTGTGAGGTTTACTAATGACAACATCTCCAGCATTTATCCTGATATTCATGTTGAGATGTATGTTAATTATTCCCACAAAAATTCATTAGCCTACAGAAACACTGCATACACAATTAGCTACTTGTATTAATAAGGAAAATAACAGCATTTCAATCAAAACTGGGGCTCAAAAGACAGACAATAAAAACTAAAAATGTTTCATTTTTACATTATATTTCACTGTTTTTATCTATTTATTTATTCATTCAGTATTGTTCAGTGTTAGCTTCGCCCTTGCTCCGTCATCAAAAAGCTTACAGGATTTTCTCCACTGGATTTTATCACAGAAAATAAGCTCTGTGACTAATTAACGTTTATGATATTTACGTTTGTTTATATTTACATGCTTTTATGATTTTTGAAGCCAAAAAGCAATTGCCAGAAGTAAAAAGCTAACATTAGGCTATAAACAAACTACAATATGGATGTATGATTTAACATTCCTACCACAACGAGCTTGTAAGGCATGATGTAGTCTCACTTAGCCAATTGTTAGCCACCACCCTTTTTTAAGATATTTAAAAGCTTTAAAATTCACAAAATGGTGCTTTAGTGACAGATTTTATGTCATAATACAAAATGCAAATGTCAGCCACAGATCTTATTTCAGCCATCTAACCAAAAACCCATTAAAAAAACCCACTGACTTCAAGACGAGGGAACCTGGAGTGCTAAAGTGCTAACTCATTTCTGGATTTTAGGGGTGCTTTCACACCTGCCCTGTTTGATACGGTTCAATGGAACTCAAGTTCGTTTGCCCCCTCAGTGCAGTTCGTTTGGGCAGGTGTGAACACAGCAATCACACTCGTTTGCATACCAAAACAACCAGACTGAAACCTTCTTGAAGAGGTGGTCTCGGTCCAGTTATAAACGAACTCTGGTGTGTTTCGTCTGTGGTGAGAACGTGTTCCAACCTCAATCTGAACCAACTGCAGTCACATGACACATTGTTTGGGTTAAACATGAGCATGTTACAGTCCTGGAGGATTATTAATGTGCACCTCCTCCTGTACTGCCTTAATATGCACATTCAGCACATCCAATGCATCAAAACATTGTTTTCTAGTTGGAGCCGCGCCTCAGTTTCAAACTGTATGGTTTGACTAAAATGAACAATGACAGCAATATAGTCCACAATGAGCAGCGCTAAAATCAACCTGCATAGTTGTCCCTCCATTGTGACATTAGAAAGTGTCACATTTATCTTGCAAGTGTACTCTTCTTCAACGTTTTGTTACTTCCCGGATTTTTCCCACATGGAAATTCTGACCAATCAAGAGCAGCTTTCTCACACAAGGCATTTGATCTGGTCTGCTTGTAAATGCTGTCGTGAGAACATGAATCAACTCTAGGCAATTATACAACTTTGTAACAAAATTAGTCCCTGATTCAGACCAAAGCAAGACAACTCTAGGTCTGAAAGCACCCTAAGAGGTGTTTTATAGTCGACGCAAAGGCACGCAGACGCGAACGCATTGAGACGCATTGGCCGCCATGATGCATGCTTACGTCTCAAAATGTGTTGTCCATTTTTTTGATATGCAACACAGTGATGCATGTAATACCATGCTGGGTTGGGTGATAATCCAAGAGATGTACTTGAAATTAACCACTCTTTGTTTTTCACAGAAGAAGCAGGTATGAAACTTGGCAGGCGAGGAAGAAAAACTTTGCGAACTTGTAGGGGCACACCCCCATTTATATGACAGTTCTAGTGCCCTGCACTCTAATAAAATAGCAGTACTAGCTAGCTACCACAGTACTAGCTAGTCAGAATGTACCGGTGACTCTGCTACCCCCTATTGCGCGAGCGATGTATTGCATTCCAAGTGTTGACTTGAAATGCAATACAAGCGTCGCTTTGTGTGCGTCGACTATGAAACGGCCCTAAGACTCATTCCTGGGGCACTCTATACAGTATTCTTTGTTTCTACATCTAATCAGAACCATGCAATGTCCCATTTAGTGAGATAAAAACTGATCATAGATATATGATGCACCTGGCTGTTCATTGACTGATGAATTTACTTGGAGAAGACAACACAAAGGACTCTATACTACTGCTGCTGTCAGAGATGTGTTACTAAGAGGCGTCGTTATGTGCAAACATTCCTGTGTGATGCCAGGCTGGTTTAATACCTCTCCACCTGTTCGCAAACATCTCTAATTCAATATTGTTTTTAGCAAAGAAAGCAGAAGAGAAATTTTAATCCTCGAGACAGGCCTTAGTTTTACAGCACGAGGGATGGGAATGTAGGTTGGTCGGCCACCACTTTGATCCAACTGATGTATCCCAACAGCTGTTAAATGGAAATTTGTGTAATCATTTATGATATCCAGAAGATAAAGTCTTTTCAATTTGGTGACTTCTCATCTAGTGCTGAAGACAGAGTAGTTGTGCGCACATCTAATCCTGCTTTAGGTCAGGTGCTGGATAATAGGGGTCCATGCAGAAAGAAGAAGAAAATCTGCACACTGAATTAGAGCTCCCAGTAAATTTTTAATGACTAAAAAAGCAACGTTTCGACCCAAATGGTCTTCCTCAGGCCTGAGGAAGACCATTTGGGTCATTAAAAACTTACTAGGAGCTCTAATTCAGTGTGCGGATTCTCATCTAGTGCTGCCATGAAGTTGACATTTTTGTTTCAAACTGACATGTCGCAATAAATACTGTATGGACTGCCATGACATTTAGTACACACATTCGTGCTCCCCTCAGGTTTGAAGTATTTCTTGCAATTAAGTTTTCCAAGAGGGTTTTCTTCCAGAAAGGCAATTCTTGGTTAAGGTGAGGGGGAAAACGTCGTGGTTTGGGTTAGTGTGAACAGATTTCTGTCGGAAATGGCTTTCTGGGGAGAAAACGTACAACAAATCCCCAGCCTAATTTTTAGTGATCCTTAACCTTTTCTCTAGCAACATTATCAGGTTGAACTTTCATTTTTGACTAAATACTTACTAAACTTAGCTGTAGTGTTCAGTGCTAATTAGCAAATAGTAAGCATGCTAATATGCTCAACGTAGTTAACATCCCCCTGCAGAGCCGAAGAGCCACCACCGTTGTAAACGTGCGCATGTGCAAGTACCAGACTGTCAGTTGAATGTTGTATGGAAGGAGAATGCTAAATGCATATTTTAGATGGTTACTATATACTACTATAAAAATAATGTTAGTCTTGCATTCATAAATGCTTGCTTTAAGAAGAAATAGAAAATTCTTCTACCTTGTGCACTAGCTCGCTAGCTAATGCTGTCTCCTTATCAGTTCCTTAATCGTGGATCAATAGAAAATATAGCAACATTCACCACAGTTACTTTGAGTTCATTTTATCTTTTTTTTAAGTCGAAATTGACAACTTTTCAGTTAACCTAGCCAGCGTGCTAGCTGCATTAGATAATGTACGCACTAATGCTAGCATGCTAGCTGTGCTAGCTAATACAGATAGCCAGAAACAAACAACTATGATTCATTGTTCATTAATTCTGCTATAATTTAAACAAAGAATGTGTTTTCTCGTGGTGGTCCTTCTAAAATTAGCAGATAGCTAGTTAGTTGATATGTTGACTACTCCCACAACTGTGAAGTGATTGGCTGAAATAAAAACCGATGAGTTTTTGACTGACGGGATTGTGAGCCTCTGATTGGCCAATTAAAATAAATGATTGGAAAAACCCCGCCCTCTCGAGCTCGCGCATGCGCACGTCCCAGATGGTGGCTCTGCACGTCTGCAGGGGGATGATATTGAACATACCTGCTAAACATTTGTAGGCCTAGACTTGTGAACATGTTAGCATGCTGATGTTCGTGGCTGAAGACAACTGCTTTTCCTGCTACATGCATGAAGAGTTTCCTGATAAACCGATCAAGATATCTCTGTTTTAAAATGTTGGTAAACTATGATGTGCATGTAGGCTACTGTAGATCAGTGATTTTGGTATTTGGCAGCTTTAGACATGTAGGCCTACACAATCTTACTCTTGGTATAGGATTGGCAGACTTACCAACAAATCTTATTAGGCTAACATATGTAGCCTATAGTAGTACAATTGGTGTATGTTTAGAAATGTAGCCTACAAGTTTCTTAAGTTAATTCATTTTTTGTTGTTGTAGAAATGCTGGAATATTTCTGTGATGTTGAATGAGTAACAGGGTCTTTTCACTGTGACACACATTGACTATAATGTCCTTGTGAGTCAATACTCCCCTTACACAACACACCTTCTTGTCAAAATGGATTTGTCAGTTGAAAGGTCAGCGTGGTTTCATTGTCGTTATCACCATGGGGGCATTCGGTGAAATTCAACTCTTTTTAAGGTGCGCAGAAATAACACACACAGAGAATCTTTGGTGAATCTAATTAGAGGAGATTTAGCAGCAGATCTCAGACAAACTGCTCCGGGGCTGCTTACTCTTGACAGACAATACCTCTGCTGGCAGGGGACTGACACTCTTTACCTTCGAGTGTGTGTGAGGGAAGAAACAGATCGCACACACTCCTGTGGTGGGTTTGAAAACATCCCACCTGTTTTTCATGGGATCGGTTTCCAGCCCGGCGACATATTTACCAGACAGACATTTTGAAAAGGAAATCC